TTCTTCAAAAAAACACTTGACTTTGCAAAGTTATAAGATAGGTTTGGGATTTGAACCGCGGAACATTTGCGTGGCGGCTACGCTGCCTCCTTCTTGTACATCTAAAAATAACATTTTTTATGAAACCGAATGTGCGGAGGGTAAAAAAGTATTGGATTTCCGATAAGGGGAGGGGGTCGTAAAGAGGCGGCCATTTCCTCGACACGATTTTCACAATGCCATGCTGTCTGGGAAGATCAAAACATTGGCCTGTACATCGGTCAGTCCCGCAACTTATTGAATAAGTCAATTCGCATTCAAAGCCCACTGCGACTCTGAATGCAAGTAGAATGTGAAGCGCATTTTAAAATTGGATTGGTCAACGCCGGGTCCCTCCTATCTTTGAATGAACTCTGAATTTTAGAAGCCCCAGAAAGGCTCCGTGCCCAATGTACTAAAGGGTTACATTGAGCGTTGTATTCAATTAGGGAATTAATTCTGGTTGGGCTATTCACACTACTCATTCGACGAATGTTGGTTTCGAAAATGTTCTATGAACTGTAGCTGAGCAATTCATTTCATAGAACCCGTTTTTTATCAGACGCTAGCAGTCCTTGTCTAAATGCGTCGCACCTGGTTAACACCTCTCACGAGGGCACTGCAAGAAAAGCACTTGACTCTTTTACATTTCAGTATATGCTAACAATCCAATTAAATGAGTAAATAAGCTGTATATCAATAACTCCACACAGCAGAAACCAAACAACAAGGAAGCCCTCGATTTTCTTATCAGATAATCCGAGCTCGCTCAAAACTTGCCGATATCCTATTATCATTCTCACGGAATCGCTGAAGATTCCCAATCCAGAAAACTCGAATCATTCAAGGCAGTTAAGTGCGGTGGTGGCGGCGTTGAAGGCGGGCGAAAAAAGCGAAAATGGCCGATGAACTTGCTGCGAATTGGGCGAGATTCTCAACGAGATGACGAAGCGTTTTCAATACGCTGCTTTTTTACTTCGTCGTCAAACAACGCCACGCGTTCTAAGTGATCTCAGCTGTTTCTTTTTTGTGATAGTCGCTTAATGCAGGGAGAACAGCGATTATAAATAGTACATGAACAGATTTCGAATGATATTTATTGTACATATGGCCTACATCCGTATGAGAAAATGAGTATAAATAAATTAAGAGGCAGAAAGAGGTCAGAGATGCAGATTCGTTGCAGAGAACTGTCGACTGGTTTAATAACCAGGAGCAGTACGTGGTGGTGGGCAGTGATCGCAAGATCCCTTGGAACCGTCTTTTCCAGGGGCTCCAGGCTCTCCAGGTGCTCCAGGATTTCCTGGTGCTCCATCCTGTCCTGGGTCTCCCTGAGGTCCAGGTGATCCTGAGGTTCCAGGGCTTCCAGGGCGTCCATCTGGTCCGGGTGGTCCTTGTGGTCCTGGCTCTCCGGGCTGTCCTGGTGGGCCAGGAGGAGATGGAACGGTGCGCACCTGTCCGGGAGCTCCAGGCTGTCCAGGTTGACCATCGTTTCCGTTGGGTCCGGGAGGTCCTTGAGGTCCTGGGGCTCCAGCTGATCCTGGTCGACCATTTGGTCCTTGGTCTCCAGGAGCTCCAGGGGTTCCTGGCTGTCCCTTAGGTCCGGGCTGTCCAGGTGCACCAGCGGGGCCAGGTGGACACTCGAAGCAGAAGTCCTCGGGACGAGGAATAATGTGGTCGTTAGGAGCGTCAGGTCCAGGCGCTCCTGGAGCTCCAGGTCGTCCATCGTTTCCGGGGGCACCATCTTGTCCCGGATTTCCAACTGGTCCAGCTGGTCCCATACCACAAGAGCAGCATTGGTAAGTTTGCCTCTTTTCTCGGCTTTCAACTTTGCGGAATGACTCCAGCTGAAAGAAAGGGAAAATTAGAGAGAAACTACGAGATTATAAAGATAGTACAAAATCCGATACAGTGTAAGGAACAAGGTGTGTTAAAAGGCGAACCTTTGTGTACTCGCCACGAAGTCCTTGTGCTCTGGTGCGGCAGAAGTTGATCTCGTCTTGTAGGCCGGATTGCACGTTCTGCATGTAAATGCAGAGCATTGGGACAGCTACGATAGCTGTTAATGTGGCCACAGTTGAGACGGCAACACCGAAGAAGGCGAACTTCTTCACCGACTCGGCCTCAACGAGCTTCAACTTATCTTCCATCTGAAAATTGTTCCACATAAACTAACGAAAGAATTTCGAACATCTTACTCATACGATTTAGAGCAACATGCGACTGAGAGATGCGAAAAAAATGGATCAGCTTTATTTTTTCAGGATCTATTGAACACCTTGAAATTGATTGGGTATTTCTCAATCAGATAAGCAGACAAAAGAAGACGATTGAGCTTGTTATGGTTCCTTGTGGGCAAGAACTTCCCTTTTATAGTGTCCAGGTGTGACGTCGTCATTTTTTCTGCGTAACGAGCTGACCGTCGACGCCCACTCAAACGAGATCCCGCCCGCCCTCAGCACCCGGCTAGACAGGGCTAAAATAGTGCGCAGTTCGTGAAAATGTAAGCAGTTGACTCGGAAGGGTAGAAACAGCATGAAAGATGACTTTGCTGTATGCCGACATTGCAACTAGTTAAATACTTTGCTAAACAAGTAAAAGGGCGGCTGTGAACAAAGATTTGGTTTTCGATGCGAACACCTCGTGAACTATCATTACAGTTTTCTAGTTTTTTGCCTTTATCGCAAGCATTTCTTCAGATAAGATAGCTCACATACCTCAGATGATTATCGACAGTGCAGAAGATTGCAATAATGTTCTCAACAGCTCTTTTCGAGAAGTCTCAAAACAACGTTTCAGGATTATCATAGCCTAAATCGTGATGGCGGCCATATTTTTCTCTCAATTGCTTTTTTCAGAGACAAGAACCGGTCGCGGGCCTTTTTGCATTAGTTTCTTTTGAACGTCGATGTTTATCAGATAAGTGCAGGTTTTCCACAGCTCTATGGTAGGGATCAACACAAAGGTTGTTGGTATGAAATTTGTCCCATAATTAGTGAATAAGTTTGGCTATTTTTTAATTTTGCTTTTTTAGTATTTGTCCAAAGTGCTTGCTCATCCAAACATACACCTGTATAACCACAAAATAATGCCGACGCAAGTAGAGGTAGCCGTGCCTTCCCCTTCAAAATTCCAAGCTTCTAATCGAAGAAAGACCAGATGTTGGTTGTAAGATCAATACCGCTACATATCTCACTTAGCGTAAAATTTCTTCCCGAGGAACAGCGCTAAAGAACAGAGTAGGTGGTCTTTCGTTGGCACGCGCTTAGCGCTACACGGCGGAGCTGGAAGGGCTGCCAGTACGAAGACCTTCATTTTAGTTAGTATTCTTCGCAGAGTGGTGTCCTAGACGATTTTAGGAAAAGCAGATTTTGACTTGCTTTGCTTTAAGTTGATTGTGTCGCCAACGATCTGATGACGTTTGTCTTCTTCACTGAACCTGGCGTTATGCTTTCCAGCGCCAAGCCCCTCCCGTGTTCTACCTACAACTCAGAAGGGTCGAACCGTGGGAGAGATTGGGCTTCTGCTGTCAGAACTCCCGAGTCGTTCAACTAGGCTGCTGCCGTCTGTGGATTTGCTGGACCACTGCGCCCGATCTCGCCGCTTAATATGCTCGGTGGTAACCCTGTGGAACTAAAAGGAACATGACGATGTCAGATCGTGCTTGGAGTTGACTCCGGCGCAGATGCATGCGGGCCAACACATACGTACTACTTAGTCCATAAGATGACGCGAGGCTTGTCTGGTTCTTGGAATTCCCAATGTCTTTAAAATGACATCCTCAAGAACGAGGGGAGGACTCAAAAAGATTTCGCTCACACGACCCCGAACTAACCTCTGCGCAAGGAACTTTACTTTCAGAGCGGGTAGTCGGTACTTGAAGTTAGTCAAGAATATGCCAGCTAACTTGTCGTTAGCACAATTCAAGCATCGCATAGCCAACACTCTGTTAAGGTACTAAAAATACTAGCATTTTGTGAGACTGATTTCGAGATGACTTATTCTATGTTCTATTTACTAATCCAATTTAGTTGTGAATGTTCATATCGATTTGTTTTATTGATGTTGTGTTGTTTTTTTAACGTGTGCCTTATGCAGACGTAATAAACTTAAACCTAAACCTAAACCTATTTAGGTCGTGGATTGAGGGATGATGCCTCGATTAACTTGTGTTTTGATTTCCCTAATCGTAGCGCGTCTGAAAACAATTCTCGTCTATTATAGAAGAAACAACTCATTGTCGGAACGTAGTGTACAGGAAAAGTGAAGTCGTAGCACGATATAAATGGGCTTTACCAAAAAGGTCAGGTGACCCACTAAGCGCTTCTTAGTCAAAAAAAAAATTTTTTATTTCTTCCAACTTCCACCATCAAAATGCTCTAAAAATGTTTACACCAATAAATGTAAAGCTGATTGCTGAGCTCACTGATTATGCCTAATATTTCATCCTCGCACAATTCATTTACATGGAAATCTATTTCATCATCCATACGAAAACTGCAGGAAGGCTTCCCATTTCGAACTCGTTCCTTCCAACGTCTGCTTTCCATGAACTGAAGAAAGTCCATTGTTAGCACAGAGCACTTGCTTCAATATCCAAGGCTTAGATATTGAAGGATTCTGCTCGGAAAATTTTTCCAAATTTGCACAAGTGACAAGAAATGAATATTTGAAAAATTCCAAAGTTTGAACACAGGACTGTAGGGTTGTGAGCAACTTTTTCTCTTTTTTTAATTTTCAGAGCCGTTCGAGAAGCCGGAGCATTGGCTCTGTTCCACTGTAATTCTATAAATAATATGCAAAGCGCGGCTCTTGAAAAATGCCGTATGTCATTCAAGTAAATGAAGAGTAGTCATTGATGATGTAACAGAGCCTAAGCCAATTAGGGGCGGAAGTAATAGCAAGAGGGACCATGCGTGCGGTCCGAGATCAAACCCTGGGTCGTGCGTCGCCCGGGCCAACCAAGCCTTCCATCCCTCCGGGGTCGGTTAATTGGTACCAGACTTGTCTGGGAGGATAAAAACACTGACTTGTACATCGGCTGGCCCCCGCAAGTCATTGTATAGGCCACATCGCATTCAAACGCCACTACGAATGTACAAATGGAAGTAGAATGCGTGCCGCATCCCAAAAGGGATTGATCAACGGCGAATGCTTTGACTTTGCCCTTTTACTAATGAGTTGATGTACGTAAATTTTAGCTGCTTGCTCGCCGAACTCACCTCAAAGAGGTCGTCTTCGTCTAGCTAAATGGTGTGCGAACTCGACGATAATGTAGAAAACAAAAAATTTCACCAAAAACGCTGAAAATAAGGGTCCTTTTTCTTTAATCTGTATGGGATTTTGAGGGACAGACAGTCGGCTAAGAGATTATCGACACCGAGCATAAAGTCGAGAACGAAAAGGAACATGACCATTTGAAAAATAATGGCAGTTCCCTGGACTTGATGCTTTGGAGAGCAAACTTTTTTAGCTTTCTTCTTACCTATACCAGCATTGCGGTTCAATGTCTCAACTGCCTTAAATGGCTGCGGAGGCCGATTGTAATCATTGCTTCAACAGTCTGTTAACAATTCGTTTAAACCCCAGTGATGGAGGGCATGGTGGATGACGTACACGGTCCAGAATTGATCCTGAACCAATCTCGCATGGTAAAGCTGTGCCGCTATTGTCACCACAACACTCTTGTTCCGGTAACCCCTCACGAAACGAATACCATTGGCTTGGAAGATATGCACGCCTCGCTAAGTTAACTGCCGTCCAGCCATCAGAACGTTGACTCACTCTTAGGTATCTTACACAGTGTGTTTCTGCGAAACATCCCTGCGATGGTATTGACAAATTCAAGAAAAGTGATCCTATTGGACACCTAGGGGTCATAGATTGGCGGCGCAAGTTTTTTCCGCTTATTGTTGCCTTGGCAATCGCACTCACTTTTGACACAGCATATTTTCATCCACCCAAAAACCTCCATCGAATCCATTGAAATTAGGGTGCCACATTAGGTATAGGTATGTAGGAAACATGTTAGATCCACTGATTTGACAGCTCTGCTTCTTGGCAGCGAATCCAAGCCCGAGCCTGAATTCATACTCGAGCTTGATATTGAAAATGGGCCATCCTTCAAGATAATACATGGTTCTATGTCCTTCTGCAGCTTCTGACTTGCTTACCTTCTTCTATGATTCGTCTACCAGGGGTACTTCTAAGAAACTTTTCCTGAAGAAAGCCAAAACAGCAATTCGTAGGCATTTTTTCACATTACGTGCTGGAACTGAATATGCTAAGATGAGCAAGATAATCACGATACCGCTTAAACTCTCTAAGTTTCATCGGGATGTATTCCATTATCTTAAGGATGTCAGCTAATTGTTCTCCCTCAATTGTTGCTAACTCTTCTCCCTCTCGTTTTTGTTGTTGGATCCATCTGTTTTATCTGACGGTTAGTTGCTTTACTTTATTTATTATTTAGGTTGATTTACTGATTTTCTCTACTTATGGTGTTCTGGAATTGGTTTTAAAAAATTTTTTGTAAGCTCCTTCACATGTCTTCATAGATGTGTAATAAATGTAATGTAATCCTAGGCCTAGACTTTGGCATCCGTATAGCTCTGGTGACCTCAGTTATCGGAAGACTGAACACCTCCTCAATATTAACCCCGTTTGCATTTCCAACAGCGCAGCACTTTGGTGTTATAATAGCAATCTCTGAAGAGTTTGATAAAGAAAATGTGAAAAGCTACTTCGTGCAATGGCTGAATTTGTTAATAAATTAATGATAGGACTACCCAAGGTGCACAGATGATTTTTGTTGTGATATAAATCTAGGTAACTCTCTCACATGTTTCTTCCCCTTGTTTACGATTGCTCAGCATATCGAATGGACACCTAATCGGACCGGTTCTCACAAGCAACCGCCAGAGAATACTATCGTTTATTGCGACTTCTTCTAGCCATAGCAGGTGCTGCTTTGATGTTCACAGCGGCTAAGATCTCGTGCGGCCACTGTGATCAAAGCATTGGACAAACTGCCTAAAGCCGTAAAAAACCACAGTTCGGAAGAAAATGGAGATATTCACAGCCGCTCCATTGCTTTTAGGCTCCCTTCCACAAATAATGCAAATCCTATATTTAGCAATTGTTTTTGTACTGTATGCCAAACGAGGTT